TCCTAGAAAATATTATTTATGTTTACTCTACAGTTTATTCCTTGAAAATATTATTTATGTTTACTCTACAGTTTATTCCTAGAAAATGGTAAATATGTTTACTCTACAGTTTTTTTTCAGTTTATTCCAAGGAAATGGTAATTACCTTCTCAATGAAGCACAATCCTTCAACTGGCCAGGGGGTACTGTAAAGGTAAATATTTAAAATGTTTGGTTGATTAATAAACTGCCAATAGAGTTGTTTGCATTGTAATATATACTTAATACTAGATGGATCAAGATTCGAGGTTCTTCGGGTTTCCTCCCTATGCTTACTACCCAGCTTACAAAACATAATATGTTAAACTTTCTTTGGCTGCAGGGACCCAGGACTAGGTTTTTTTTAAATAGTAGAAAGAAGGTGATCCAGGGCGGTATATACATTTTTTAAGAATTGGACCCTATCTACTGGATAATTTGTAAATTTCTTTCATCTACTGAGAAATGAATTGGTAAGGGACTTTACCAACTTTTTATGCTTAATTTCATCCTAAAGCTCAGAACTGAATGTTTAGTCAATTAACGGTATTTTTAAAGTTACTGTTCCTGAACAATCATAATTTGTTACCTACATTAGCGGACGGTAATTTAACCCTATTCAGGCTGAGGTCTCCTTTACTTTGAATAGTCCTGCTCATTAAAAAAACCGCTAATATTAACTATTAGGCTGCTAGGAAGGTTTTTTAAAAAATAGTGAAAAAAGTTGGAATTTTTTTATTTACTTGATAAGATGTGAAACATGCATTTTTATCAAATTTTCAACGGCTTTTCAAAAATGTCAGTTTTAAATCTGTAATTAAAATTAAAAAATCAGAAAACAAAGTTTTAAACAAATTTAAACTTTTCTTGGAATTCGAAAAGCTATATCTAGTGATAGTATCAAAATTCAAAAGTGAGAGTGTTCTATATATATGGAAAGTGAGAGTGTTCTATAAATATGGAAAGTGAGAGTGTTCTATATATATGGAAAGTGAGAGTGTTCTATGTATATGAAAAGTGAGAGTGTTCTATATATATGGAAAGTGAGAGTGTTCTATATATATTGAAAGTGAGAGTGTTCTATATGTATATGGAAAGTGAGAGTGTTCTATATATATATATATGGAAAGTGAGAGTGTTCTATATATATAGAAAGTGAGAGTGTTCTTTATATATGGAAAGTGAGAGTGTTCTATATATATGGAAAAATACAGACTTCCTCTACTACACCGCATAAAATATCAAAATATTTTATGGAGAAACCACAATACAGAATTATTAATTTTCAGATTAAAAACAAGGTTAATTCCATCATTTTCCCTGTAGGTTTGAAGCATACCATTGTAAATCGAATATGTTAATGGGAAGGTCACTTAAAATGATCACAACAGCTCATTAAAGCTATAGATTAGATACGTATTAGATTTAATAATAAACTGATGTTTTTAAAGGGGTTGGGGGTAGAGTTGTGCGCGTTCGTCTTTTCTATTTCGTTCGATTATCGTTTTATTTTTCAACTGTAATAATAAAACAAATTGATTTTGTTCGTTCTTATCATTCCTTTTCCATCTATTTTGTTCGTTTACTCAATGAACAATCTTTTAGTAAAATCGTTCGTTCAGTAAAATCGCTTTTACAGCAAAATCGTTTTTACAGTAAAATCGTTCTTAAAGTAAAAACACTAGTTTTGCAAAAAAAACATTTCGAAATAATCTTTCGTTCAGGATCAAATGATTTTAAATTGTTTGTTTTTGTTTTTTTCGTTCTTTTAATAAAATGAATTTTATTTTCTCTGAAAAATCCAAGTTGTTCGTCCATCGTTCGTTTTTTTCTGATTAACACCATCGTTCACGAAAAATTTCGTACGTTCACAAAAATGTTTTTTTTCGTTCAAAAAAATATGCGTATCTCTAGTTGGGGGGGGGGGGGGGGATTATATATACGGCCAGTTCCCTCGGAAAAAAATTTCAAATAATGTGGCTTCATCTATTTCTGTTTTAGTAAGCCATTCTTTCATCCATTCTTAGATTGACTTGATATACGTTGCTTAAATTTATTTTATATCTACTATAATAATATCAGGTCACAAAGTAACAAAGTATAAAAGAAACATGCATAATTTAAAAACAAATGACAAAATAAATATCTACATGTATATATGTGACAGAATTATGAAAAAGTGTCAAATGTAAGTACTGCACTCTGCCCAATTAGTTTTGTTTTTGTCTATTAAACTTCAAATCAAGAAGTTATTTTTGTCAGAGCATTTAATAGATACTTTGAGTATTAAACAGTATTTGTTTTCACAAAAATTGTCATTATCATATTGTTTATGAGTCTCTAGCTCCTCAGTTTTCACTTGTTTATATAGTTTAATGTAAATTGTAATGGCCACTACTGGAAAAAATCCGCAATTTTTAATGTTTTCCCGGATTTTATTGTTTAAATTTTATTGTCGTCTTTGCTCACATCATTGCTGATCCGACTTGACCTTCAATTAAAAAAAAATCTATGCAATATTCTAAAAATTGTAATAAAAACTGCTTTTAGCATTATCAATTGCTAAAATAATTTTTCCGTTTTAAATGGCATTGATTTATTGATTTATTGTTTAATTGATTTTCTGTTCCTAATAGCATTGATTCTCTGGTATAGGCTTAAGAGACTGTGCCCGATACGTGCAGCAGAGCAGTTAAACACATCGCAATCATCAACTTTCAGTTCAGATACTTCATCTTCGTCCTTCTTTTCATCCTTCTTCTTCTCATCCTTCTCATCCTTCTCATTATTATTATTAGCATTATCCTTATCCTCATCCTCAACCTCATCCTCATCCTCATACTGAAATGTTAAATTATTTTAGAAATATTCCTTTAGATGAGCTAAGTTCAAATAGGATTGAATAACTTTGGTTAAACTACAGGGTGTCCCATTAATGATGCTTTAGAGACCAATTAGAGATTTATTTTATATGAAAGGGAACATTGCAATAGCAATTTTGTCACATAAAAGTAGGGTTTTCAACGCAAGTGGACTTTACTTGCGCGCAATTTCGAGCCCTGTAAACTCCGCGAAATTCCACGCAATTCCACGCAATTCCACGCAATTCCGTACAATTCCGCACAATTCCGCGCAAGTCCGCGAAATTCGAGAACAGTATTCTTTTAAGTCTCATGGTTGATAAATATTAAAATACAAAAAAAAATTGATAACAGATAGTGTGTAATTTGATTATTACCTTATCACATATTTAACCCTATTCCTGCTGGGGGGGGGGGTCAATTTGACTCCCCCTGTATTTTCTTTACATAACTCAAAAAGTATTGGTCTGAGGCTGTTGAAATTTTCTGACTTTTTCTACATACCCAAAGCCCTCCCTTTAGGCCTAAAACCGGGCTTTAATACTAACTGCCTGAGTCCTCAGGCACACTGTAACAAACTAAATCTTTGTTTTGACCCTTTTCCACTTGTCAGATTTTGATAAAATTTAGTTTTTTGGAAAGCCTTTGACATAAGGAAACGAATTGCACAAGTTTTGCGGAAAAAAATTGCAAATTATTTGCAAACAACCTGTCAAAGGAAATTTGCACATTTTTAGTTTTTCTTGATTAAAAATTAGATTATTTAAATTTTGCAAAATGTTTTGCATATTTGAAATGGCATGGTCAAGGGCTTTTCAAAAATGTATAATTTTTCATTTTTGGACAAATTTTGTTTGCAAACATTTGTACTATATAACTGGATTTTGCGATAAAAATTCAATTTTTGCAAATTTGCAAATTTTTTTGCAGATTCTAAAAGTAGAGCACAAGAGCTTTCCAATGATGTATCATTTGTCATATTTGGACATCAAACATGGGATTTAGAGGGGGGGTCAAATTGACCCCCCCCCCAGCATATTCTGGTTTTCAAGTACCCAGCAGAGATAGGGTGGCTTAATGCGCTCAGCCGAGTTTAAATATTAATTAAAAAAGGTTTTCTTCAGTTTGGAATTTAAAGCAGACTAAAACTTTGCTTGAGAAATTCCGTTGAATAATTTTCTTATTTTTAAATAAACATTTGTCTTTACAATATGATGTCGTAAAGTTTAAATGACTAAAGCTTAAAATATCAAAGGTGTACTCCATTTGGTTAAAAATGTAAGAAAATTAGATTTTGGAGCAAGTTTAAGTGTTTTTTTTTTAAAGAAAATACCTCATCATAATAGTCTTCATATTCATATTCGTCATCCTCCTCCTCTTTCTTCTTCTCCTCTTCTTCTTTCTTCTTCTTTTTCCTTTTCTCCTCTTTCTTCTTTCTCTTCTCCTCTTTTATTTTTCTTCTCTCCTCTTTGCTCCCAGTCTTCTTGTTGTCGAGTTTCCTGCCCTCAAACTTAGAGGAAATTCCTGCCGCGTCAAGCATCCTAAGCAGAAAATTTAATAGGCATGATAAAATGGTTTTATTTTTATTTCAGAATAAACATACTAATTGTTCCACGATTTTTTTCCAGTTTAAATGACGTAATTCTGAAATTTTTCCGGTTTACGTTATGTAAACCGGAAAAATTTTCGGGTTACAACATGGAAACTGGAAATTTTACGGTTTACGTTACGGAAACCGGAAAAATTTCCAAGTTACGAAGTGGAGTTTGGAAATTTTACGGTTTCCATTCCGTAATACGGAAAATTTCCGGATTACGTCATGCGAACTGTAAACATTCCGATTTCCATTTGATCCGGAATTTATCCGGAACGCCACTTTACGCAACAAATTTCCGGATCATTCCATTTCCAAAATGGAAATTTTGTTCCGGAATAATGACCAGCTCTGCAAAGTTCTCGTGTAAAAAACCGTGCATTTGCATCTCGAAAGATAAAGATAAAATTGTAAACAATTCTACTTTTTCGGTAAATCAAAATTACACTTTTCCACGGGTTCCCTCGACCAATTGTGCCTGGGAACCCTTGGTAAAGTAAAATTCCCTTAAGTTCCCTGTAAAGAAATTGTAAATAATTAAAACTTTTCAAAATGTTAATCTAATTTCATTAATTATTAAAAATTATTAAAAACAAAGTTTGTCGAGAATACCAAGGAAAATGCAAAAGTCATCACCAGCCATTCTCTAGCAACCATCATGTACATTTATATTAAAAAATGTTTTGTTCTTTTATGAGTTGCCCACAGTCAAACATTTATTTAGTACAAGCATTTATTGAGAAGATGTAAAACTGGAGAGTAAAACAAAACTAAATTTCAAAATTTTTCAAGAAAAAATTTGAAAAAATTGAAGATTACATCTTTGGAGGTGATATCAAGAAATTTTAAAAATTACCTTTTAAACCTAAGTTTATTCTCGATATAGTCGGTTTCAGGGGCAGATAGGTAACACACAGATTGTAGCAGGCAGTCCTATAGATATAGATAGATAGATAGATAGATAGATAGATAGATAGATAGATAGATAGATAGATAGATAGATAGATAGATAGATAGATAGATAGGTAGATAGATAGATAGATAGATAGATAGATAGATAGATTAAAGGATATACAGACAGATAGCTAAATAGATAGATAGAAAAATAGACAGAGAAAAGTCCTAAAGTAGAGAAAAATTGCCCTAAAAAAACACATGAAAATTACTAAATACAACTTTCAGAAATTAACTAAAACAAACCTGGAAATTTGAATCCCCAACAGTTTTTGAGACTCTATCAACGCCTCCAGATACTACATCAGGTACACCGGACAAAGTATCTGTCACCTGGAAAATGATTTTTTTTTAATAATTAACGTAAATTCTTGAAAAAAACTTTTTTGCTTAATTTCACGCATTTCGAGGCAATACAATTTTTAATAAACAATACCTGGGACAGTACACCTGCTTCTTGTACAAGAGTGGATGATAATAAACAATACCTGGGACAGTACACCTGCTCCTTGTACAAGAGTGGATGATAATAAACAATACCTGGGACAGTACACCTGCTCCTTGTACAAGAGTAGATGATAATAAACAATACCTGGGACAGTACACCTGCTCCTTGTACAAGAGTGGATGATAATAAACAATACCTGGGACAGTACACCTGCTCCATGTACAAGAGTAGATGATAATAAACAATACCTGGGACGGTACACCTGCTCCTTGTACAGAGAGGATGATAATAAACAATACCTGGGACAGTACACCTGCTCCATGTACAAGAGTAGATGATAATAAACAATACCTGGGGCAGTACACCTGCTCCATGTACAAGAGTAGATGATAATAAACAATACCTGGGACAGTACACCTGCTCCTTGTACAAGAGTGGATGATAATAAACAATACCTGGGACAGTACACCTGCTCCTTTTTCAAGAGTAGATGATAATAAACAATACCTGGGACAGTACACTTGCTCCATGTACAAGAGTAGATGATAATAAACAATACCTGGGACAGTACACCTGCTCCTTGTACAAGAGTAGATGATAATAAACAATACCTGGGACAGTACACTTGCTCCATGTACAAGAGTAGATGATAATAAACAATACCTGGGACAGTACACCTGCTCCTTGTACAAGAGTGGATGATAATAAACCGCCAACACTCTCTACAGCCCCTGTGCCCATCCTGAAAATATATTATTGTAAAAAAACGGAATGGATAAAATTGTACCAAACATGTACTCTTTTTTTTCTGCTTTCTACTGTACAGCTAGGTATTTAAAGTATTTTTTAGCTCTGCAATGTGGTATTCATTGCGCAATACTTTTTCTTTATAGATACGATTGTACAAAATGTTTTTTTCCTTTTAAATGCATGATTTCCTGCAACTGTAAACTTTTTTTAGCCAAATCATTGCTTCTATATTAGTATTCTCATTCTTTGTGCAGGTAACCATGTACACTGATCTATACTGGTGTGTACTTTGTTGTACTCTGGGTAAATATAAGTAGTTACCTTGCAATTGATGGGCGAGGGTCCAAACTGTTTATTGAATTAACTGAAAATATTAAAGTTTAGATTATATAGAGATTAGCTGAAGTGCCCAGCGTTGCACGTTAAAAAAATCGATTTTGGGAAAAAAATTATTTTTAAAAGAAAAAAATCTTTTTTTTGCCAGCTATAGTTTACATAAATATATATGAGCGAATAAATAGCTTTATAATATAGATGGAGTTGAAATTCAAAACTTTACAATAAAGTGGGTTCTAAACAATGACAAAAATAAAGGATTTTAGAATAAATGCTAAAACAGTTTAAAAAAAACTCTTTCAGAATTCGGTTGAATATTCGCTTTATAATAAATAAAATTGTATTATTTGTATTTATAAATAACATCAAAATAACAAATAACTTGTTCATTTATTTATATTTGTCGGATTCTATATTATTTGTTTAAAATGTTATCAAGGTTGCAACATTGTATTATTGATTGCATTTAAGTTTGCAATTTTGCTTAAAAATTAGCTATTTGTGAATGATTTCCTCCTAAAATTGTGCCATGAAAACTTTTAATTGTATATATTAAAAATTAAAGAATCAAACATTCCACAGTTTTCTGGTTATGACTGTATGAAAATTACCTAAGAATTGAAATGAGTCTGGTGAAATATTGTCAATAACTCTTGAAACTCTTTCCCCAAAATTATTTCTATTATTTCCTGGAAACTGTCCTGAAAACAAAAATTATGTCAGAACTTTTAAACAAGTATTTATTATCAGGCCCCTTTCTTGTAAGAATTTAAATTTTAAAGGTTAATTTGAAGCCTTTTTTATATTTTACATTAAAAAACTAAAAATTCAAATTTTTGATTTTTTTAGTTTTACAAAAAACTTTATATATCAACATTTTTTCTAAAAAACATTCCTTAATTCTGACTAGCCATAACCTGCCTTCTGGTCATGTCATGTGAGGTACCCAAAAAACTTGGGCCTGATCGGTTCAGAGCCCTTTTGTTTTTTATTTGGATATTAAACAAAACAAAAAAAGATAGACAAATACACTCTTTTCCCAAATTAGATTAGGTTTGAAGTATAATCTACCATGATGTGCAATTCTAATTCATTATCTGTATTAATAATATTATTATCTTAACTATTTGTATGTTGACCCAGCCGGGCTAGCCCGGTCAGTTCATTTTTACCTGTTTATAAATAAAGTAGTTGAATATCATTTGTGGATTAGAACGGACGTATACAGAGCCTTGAGTGTTGGCTAGAGATAGAGAGCCTTAAGATTTGGCTAGAGATTTAGTTAAATATGATCTCATTAGACTTTGAGTAAAGTAATCGTTAGAGTATTAGCATCTAGATTTGTTACAGGTTTACCTTGAAAATTATGATATCCATACTTTTCAGCAAAGTAGTCATCTTCCACTCGTCTCTGGAATCCCTAAAATGATATTTTTTTAGTCAAAATTAATAATTTTATAAATTTTTCGTTTTTTTCAGTTTTATGAAAATGCCGATATATTTCCTAATATTTGCTCAAATATTGCTACTTTCTTGAATAGGTGTTAATTTGAAAATGTAAAGACAAAATGTCGTCCTTTAAGTTCAACTGTAGATTTAGCGAGACACCCTGTATCTAAACAAAGAAGTACAGGGTTACCCAAATAGTGTGCAACTTCTATGACGACCTAAAACTCTTGGAATCTTGCCTTAAATGTAGTTTTCAATGGCGTATTAAATAATTTTCCGAAAGATAAACCAGTTTACAATTATAGGAACATAAGAAATAAGATCAATAAATTATGTACAGTCGTCTCTGAGAATAAATGAATGAATGAATGAATTAATAATCAGACCCGGAGTATTTGACAGTTACTCAGGCCACGTGGATTTAACGGTTCTATCAATATTCCAGAAAGCTGTGACTTTCAATAACAATTTGACCCATTAAACACAATTTTTTAGACTTTTTGCTGAGATACTTTGTTGTCGGCATATGCATTTTAAAGGAAAAAGTATAGAATAAACAAATCCGTAAGGTAAAAGATTGTTGACTTATAGAACAAAACACGTTTGATTTCAAATAGAAGAAACCGAATGCTGCTCAATCTGGTTAGTCCGGGGTGAGACGACTTTACATGTTTATCGCGGGCAATTTTAAATGCTCAAAAAAGGCAGACCACATTTTAGTAATGGCAGGACTATGGCTATTTGTGATTATCTTTTCATCAATCATATTTGTAAAATTATATTGTAAAATAGACGGATTAATTGTAAATTAATTCCGGGTCTTTCCGATACCAGATAATGCTGGAAAAATTACCACTGCAAAATACACAGCTATGGTTATCCAGAAAGCCAAAAGTATTGCAGCCCCTATTGTCGTCACAACTCCCGCCAAATCTAAAACAAAAAGTTTTTTAACCTAAGGATAGTGTAATATTTTTAAATTATATATATGTATTAAAAAATTGTGAAATTGCATTTTTGAAAGAGATAAACTTGCATATTGTCTTTAAAATAATTTGCTTCATTTGTGGCATAATTATCCTAATCATAAATTTGTGCTTTAAATATTACCCAAAATAAAAATAATTCTAATATTGCAAGAACTACTTATATTTCTTTACTGTTAATTCAAGAACCATACATGTAAAAATAGATGACTTATTTTAAAGATGAAAGACCATCTTAAATCCTTTTTCAACTTTCAAGTTATCCCACGTCTTCATAAATATTACTGCAACATATAGAATGACAGCTACCTATCGTAGCACTAGCCAGATGAGAGCGTACACATTCTTACTATTCAGGCTAGCTCTAGACCCTATAATTTCTTAAATCTCTTAGATTGAGGAGGTCCAGAGCTACTCTGCATAGTAATGGTGGGAATGTAAACTCTCTCATCTGACTGGTGATACGGTGAGTGTATATAATTAAACTAAGATTAACCTATTTGGGGGAGAATAATATCGTTTCTCTGAGTATCTGCCAAGTGCCCGATGTCAAGAACTTTTATTACATTTGATCTTCCATCCCCAACTTCTTCAGGATCTCCATCAATCTCATTTGTATCTACAGCTGGGGCTATTTTTGGTTCTGTATTTACAGCTGATGCTATCCTTGGTCCTGTAATTATAGCAGGTGCTATCTCTGATGCTGTATCTACAGCTGGTGCTATCTCTGGTGCTGTATCTATAGCTGGTGCTGTATCTGGTGCTGTATTTGGTTCTGTTATCATGTATATGTCATAAACTCCTCTCTTGGTCCTTGTCTAAAATGGCATCAATTATAATAATAAAATAAACTGAAAATTTTCTCTTACTGTAATTTCTAAACCCTAAAAATGTGCAACCGCATGTAAACGTTTGATATATCAAACTTAGAATATTTATCTAACAGAATCCACAGTTTGATATAGGAGTTAGAAAATCAGAGCTTGTGACAAAGACTTAATTATTTTGGCAAATTATAGAATCTAGAATTTCATGGGTGGCAAAGATAAAAGGATTAGAAAATTAAACTTTTAGAAGAGTATTATAGTTTCTTTACAACATTAAAAAGAATATGGAAAACAATATTGAAAATGTTTTAAGAGAAGATAAAGTTTATTAAGATTTGTCTTTGTATATAGTCTCCATAGTGTAAACTTGTAACATGCAAAATATTGAAATAGAAAATTGCCCCCCCCCCCCCCTAATAATAAACACATGCAAAAAAGTATACAAAAACCACACTACCTTTCTCCTTTTTCCTTTCACCAATTTGTTATGCTCCTCGCCTCTCATGCCATGCTTTTTACCCCTTCTATTACTTTCTTTTAAGTCATGCTTGTTTGGCCTATGTTTAAGTTTACTCATAGTTATAAATATATTTTTTTTATCATACTTTTTTCTTCTTACTGATTCATTTTTAGTACCATGAAAATTTTGACGAAGTGATTGGCGCTTTTCTTTACGATCGTTTCTTTTTTCAAGATTGGTTCCTCCTCTACCTTCTTGCCTTGCTTCCTTTCGTTCATTTATCCTTTCATATTTTTCATCAGTTCCTTTCTTTTCTTTTCTTTTTTTGCCATGTTTGGAATCCTTATTTGACTGTTTTTGATGTTTTGGTCGGGCTTTTGATGATTGAAAAGGTTTTGATAATTTTCTTCCAGTTGGTTTTAAACGCAGGGATTTTCTGTTGATTTCATTTGATTCTTTTTCTTCGTCCAAAGTAGATTTTTCTTCTTTTTCAATTGAACTTTGAAAGTATACATCCCTTTTTGAGCGAACCTAAAAATTCAAAGATATTACTTCACGAAAAATCAAAATATCTGGTTCTTTTGTCCTTCAAAAATTAAAAAAATATATTTACACACCTTTCTAACTTTATCTCTTTTTTCCTTTCTTGTTTCTTTCTCTTTCTTTTTATTCCTTTTATTTCTCCCCAATAAGGACAGACCATAATCATTTTTTGATTTCCCATCATGCTTTCTGACCTTTTTGTCTGATCGTTGGCTGGATTCCAGCATAGTTTTCAGAAGAGTTTTCACATTCTTGTTATTTTTTGTCTTTGTCTCTCCTTTTGATTGTTTTACTTCTTGTAAATCTTGGCGTAAACTTCTCCGTTTATCCTGCCGGTCAAGTCGATTTTCAGAGTCAGTGCCTTCTCTTCCACCTTTTCTTAATTGCTTTCGATTGTTAATTTTTTCTTCTTTTTTAGCACCATCCAGTTTTCTATTTTCCCGTCTTCTGCTTATTTTTTCCTCCTTTTTAACAGTGTCTTCTTTTCTGGTCATTTTTCGATTGCCCATCCGTTCCTCTTTTTCCTTTAGTTTTACTTTGTCGCTTTTACCCCCTCCTTTTCCTTTCTTTTTTGGTCTTTTGACAGATTTTTGTTTGTTTTTACTTTTAGATCCCTTTTTCTTACTTTTCTTCTCCGCAGATTTAGGACCATCTCTTGAAAAATGTTTTGTTTCTAATTTTTTGCGATTGGATCGGACCATAGACTTTGAACTTGATCCATCATCAAATTCATCAAGCTCCTCTGAAATGCTTTCTTTTTCACTTTCTTCCTCAATTTTTCCTTTTTTACCATTCTTCCGTTTGTTGTGGAAAACTTCTCTTTTACTTCTGATCTAATATATTCAAAATTTTTGTAAAACTTTTGTTCAATTTTTTTTTGTAAAATAAGGACAATCGAATAAATTATTATTCATTGCAATATTGAATATGACTATAAAGCTCACTTGTTAAGTATTATTTTTTTAGCAAACAGAAAAATATATTGTTTAATAAAAAAATTATTGAAGGAATTGATTCTTTTCCACAAACTTAAATTTTTTAATCCCTATATCTTTTTAACGTGGTGATGGAGTAATTATTTAATATTATTTCAAACTTAGATTATTTGATCTAACAGAATATAAGGTTAAAATATACGGTCTGCGACATAGGTTGCAAAGATATAGGGATTAGAAAATCACAATTTACCTTTTTCTTTTTTCCTTTTCCGCCCTTCTTAAGTTTGTTATCATTCTTATTCTCCTTATCTTTTCCTTTCTTTTCTTTCCTTGTCCCAGATTTCTTTTCGTGCTTCCCGTGTTTGGATTTGATTATGGTTTTAACTAGATTTTTCAAATCCGTAGATTTTTCAGGTTTTTTCCCCGCATTTCCTTTAACTTTGTGAAGGGTTTGTCTTAAAGATTTACGTTTCCTTTCTCGGTCTTGTTTATTATCCTTGTCATTTTTTTCCCGTCCTTCTTTTCTTTTCTCCTTTCGCTGGTCTCTTCTTTCATCTTTTTCTTTCTTTTTCTCTTTCTCATTTTTTCCTTTTTTACTTTTTGGTTTAGTTTTCTTGTTTTTTACTTTTTTCTCTTTGGTTGGTTTCTTTACAGGCCTTGGTCTTGGTTTCCAGCTCTGAGCTGTTTTGGTCCTAACCAGGTTGTTTGATGGTATCGATGGCAATACCAAGGGTTGTGCAAGCTCAGGACTAATGATATCGGAAAAATTGGTTTGGTTTCTCATCGACATGAGGATTGAATAAATACTGTTTACTAAATCGGACTCGGACACTTCCTTTAGATAGAAAACAAACAAATTTGATTTTATAAAATCAAAAGATATTATAAAAATAGTTGTAAAAAAAGCAAAAATAGAATGTAAATTGTTTTGCTACATACAGCATTTTATGATTTAATAAAGAAGAATAAGGACCTTTAAAACACTTTTATTTTTATGCTTAATGCTTCATGCTTCATGCATCCATGCACTCAATTTTACAAAATAAATCTCAATATGAGCACTCGTCTCAAAATATAATTTTTTATCCATATATTTATGCAGCTTTAGACTGTTTATATGTCATACTATAACTAATAGACTTACATAGTATAGAATGCATAAGTTGAAATATCAAAGGTCTACAACGTTTTTTTGCAAAGATAAAAGGATTAGAACATTTGAGTTTGAGACAAGTCTTCCATTGGGATATTTTTTTTCAGAATAAGAGCTGAAAATCAATGATTAAGTAAGAAGACATATGATCTGTAAAGAGTCACCAAAATTAAAGAGAATTAAGAAATACATTTACTTTAATTTGATTTTATTTCTTTTTTAAAATTTTGTTTAAAATGAAGTTGTTTTCCCTTGATTGAAGTGCTTGTAGTGCTTGAATCCGATTCTTCAAGACTCTTCCTATCTTTCTCTCCAGAATATTTTGCATTGAACCTTTGCGGGATATTCGCAACCTGGAATCCATGCAAAATTATACATGCACATGCAAAAAGTCATTCTTAAGGTTCTCTTCAAAACTTTTGGTTTTAAGTAAAATGGTCTGAATATTCAATATCAATAAGACTTCAGTTTTAAAAGTTTGCAAATACATTATTCAATTATCAGCTAGACAGATCTAACTAATCAGTTATCAGCTAGACAGATCTCACAAATCAACTATCAGCTAGACAGATCTCACTAATCAATTATCAGCTAACAGATCTCACTAACCAATTATCAGCTAGACAGATCTCACTAATCAATTATCAGCTATAGACAGATCTCACTGATCAATTATCAGCTAGACAGATCTCACTAATCAATTATCAGCTATAGACAGATCTCACTGATCAATTATCAGCTATAGACAGATCTTACTAATCAATCATCAGCTAGACAGATCTCACTAATCAATTATCAGCTATGGACAGATCTCACTGATCAATTATCAGCTATAGACAGATCTTACTAATCAATTATCAGCTAGACAGATCTCACTAATCAATAACCAGGCAAAGATTCAAAGGGTACCGCTCGACATACCCCTCTTGTATGGAGGGTAATTTGAAATTTCGTTTAAAATCACTTAAAAAATAATTTTTTGTCTATTTTTCTTTAAATTTAAAGTAATTCTTCACACCACCTAGTTACTTGTAATTAGGACGAATTCATCAACATAGACCTAAAGGTAAAGAGACATATATGACAAGATGAAGGTTGCGATGATATGAAAAATAAACTTTACGCAAATTATTCGTCGTAAAATATTTTTGTCGTCTGGGGGTTGTTTTTAAGAATATGAAAAAGGTTGAAAACTATCGGAAAATTATTAAAATTCATTAAACTTGGCCACACAAAAGAAATCTTTATAATCTAATTAGTTCATCAAAAAAAATCCAAAAGTTTTCAAAACTTATATTAAAAAAAAAAGATAAAACAAGGAAAATTTTCGCAAATGTATGTTATTGTGTAGAATTTTTTTTAATTGGGAGCTTAAAGTACACTACGCCCCACCCCCTCCCTCCCTCAGAGCTATCTTAGGATAAATATTTCAAGGTTCTTGGTTAACCCCTTTTACTGTTATTGTTTAGGCTGAGAATTAAGGATATTGTTTATTCAAAATAATGGAACTAAAATATAAGTATTATTTCTCTGTGGTTGTTATTATTCAGCTTGCGTAGTAAGAAAGGTGTTTAGGTTGATTGGTTTGGACTGGAAGGGTTGGGGGGGGGGGCTTACTTTAATAGACACTTATTAAGAAGGCCTTTCTATCCCCCTTTAGATAGTTGCCTTGATCCTCTCACCATCCTACTTTCCCAATTTAGAGCATAGCTTCATCAAGAATAAACAATAAATTCATTGATTTTTTAAGAAAAATTGATTATTTTTAATTAAATTTTCTCTCAAAAGTGGCTTCCCTTTACTTCCTCTGAAAGCAGCGTGAAAAAAATGGTAAAATTCAACATTTTTCAAATAAAAAAAAGAAAAAAAAAGATATATTTCTATTGTCGTTGTTTTTAATATGAAGGTTTAAGTGGTATTGTTTCATCTCTATAATAAATGTAGTTTCTGCTCTAGAGTCTCTTCAAGCTTGTTTAGAATATACTTTCTAATAAATTCTCATGCAAAAACATGAGCAGATGTTTTGTGCTCGTATTTATAAAGAAAATAAGACGAAAATGTCAAGCCAACGGATATAGAGCTTGAGAATGCCTTTAGGCTTTGGCAATAATTGATAAATACAATACACACCGGACTAACCATAGTGAGCAGCATTCGGTTTCTTCTATTTGAAATAAAACGAGCTTTGGTTTTTAATTCAATAATCATTTACTTTAAGGATTTGTGTGTTATACATTTTCATTCAAAATGCATATGCCAACAAAAAAGTGTTTAATAGAAAAGACTAACAAATTATGTTTAATGGGTCAAATTGTGATCGAAAGTCACAGCTATCTGGAATATTGACAGAACCGTTAAATCCCCGTGAATATTGTGAAAGCTAGACACAGTTCGAAAATCTATTATGTCATTGATATATTTTATTTCTTCAATTTGAATTAAAATTCAATAGATAAAGATTTTTTTTGATATGTTTGATTAAATCCGTGCAATTGCTGCAAGATATTTCATACAGAATTTCAGGCAATATAAGAATAAACCACATATAAAAAAATAAGGCTATTTTAATACATGATCAACAAGAACAAAAATATTTTTTAAAATGTGGACAAAAGCTCACAAGAAAACCAGGTATTAATCGAAGAATTAACATTTTTTATGTTGAAGGATTCGATAATAAAGTAATTACTGAAATTTTTAAAAACCTACGTATTCAAAATATGTTATAAAAATTAAGCTAGCTACACCATTATACAGTGGTTTAATGGTGAATTAAGCTAGCTACACCATTATACAGTGGTTTAATGGTGAATTAAGCTAGATACACCATTATACAGTGGTATAATGGTGAATTAAGCTAGATACACCATTATACAGTGGTATAACAGTGAATTAAACCACATAAGACCTTGCTCACTGCAGATTCTTTGAACTTAATACATTGTTAGAATTAAGGATTAAATAAAAACAAGGACAACTTAAACCCTTTGTCGGGTTTTATACTATCAAACCTAATGACGATTCGCCTCACTTGTTGAGATTTTTATAAATACTGAAGTAAAAGTAAATTATTACAGGAAATATCTTAAAGTTTTTGGATCATTTTTTATAAAGCTGAAATATAAACAATAAAAACAATCGAAATCTACGTATTTTAAAAATCCACAATTGTAAACAGAAAAATATGTGAAAGTTTTTGTGCATGGATTTTGATAATTGCAGCTTGACAATCACCAGATAACCGCTAAATTTTCTAGAAGCCTAATAAGCTATATTGCCTGTCTAAATTTCAACATGTTAAAGTTATCATGAGTTTGTTTTATAGTTTGTTGATCTTTTCTAACTTATGACAACTTTATTTTGAAGATTTGACTTTTTTGACTTGAATAATTATTATAACAAATTATTCGCAACACCAACAAATGTATTTTCTGAAATTTCAGAGCACAACATGTAAATCCACATTCAAGATTCAGCACACATGCAATCAATAAGCATACAATGAACAAATATTGATAAATTCCGACTAAACTTGTCCAATGCATATGTAATTGTCAATTCCAGACAAATACTTTGCAAATATTTTGTGTAAATATTTAAAATTGACCAGACAAAGCGGAAGTGGAACTTTCACAAGGAACATTTTTATTTAATTTGTAATTTAATGTAACTTTAATTTAAGCTTTTATCCATGCAAATATGTACATGCAAATATCTTCTTTATTTGCTTACCTCGCCTATCAGATTGGAATTAGGATTATCAGATAGATTGTCAATAATCTAAATTAACAAAAATTAAATATAATAATCGCTAGGACATAAAAGCTCCAATGTAATCGTTTCCCCAAAATGAAATTTTTCCCAAATATTTGGATTTTCCCTTTGACAGACATTTGCGCTGAACTATTTATGCCTATTTCAAATACTTCTCTTTGAAAATTAACTTTGATCAAAAAAATTTCTTAACCCTATATCCCGATTGGGATTTTTGTCTAATAAAGATGGGGGGGGGGGGATTTCCACACACCCCTATGATTTTGCCCTTAGAGTTGAGAAATGGGAGTGTAAAACATGTCCCTTGTCCAACTTTTTAAGGCCTTATCATTAAAAAATAATTAGACCTCTAACTTTAATGGTTAGGGTAAGGGAGGATTTTAAAAAATTTCAAAAAGTATGTCCAAAAAAATGTTTACAAAACTTATTTTTACTTATTACAAATATTAACATATGACAAATGTTATTATATCAATTTTTCAAGCGCTTTACAAATATATAAGTAGCTCAATAAATAAAAAAGTTATTAGCAATTTCTGATTTTTTTGAAACACCGACCTGTCGTTTGACCGTCCTCCACTCTATCAAAAAAAAGAGATTTTTTTTAGCCAAATTTGTTTTCAACTATTATGGTGAAAAAGTGAAGAAGTTCAGAAAAAACCACAGGTGAGGGTGGTGGAAAACACTCCCCCCCCCCACTCCCCCAATCGTGATAGGGTTAAATGAATATCAAATGATTTTTGTCTGCAAATTATTGTATAGAGAATAGGAATAATGTTTGAACAATTTTCAGACAGAAAAACCGGAATAACTCACTTTTATTTTGCTCAGATATAGATTGTGAATCGGACCGGTCACTTGAAATGACGTGGACAGCTTTTTTCAGGCGAGAACTCAGTCTTATTATCTTAACAGGCTTTAAGGACACTTCGCGCCATTCTTCTATTTCAATTGTGAACATTGCCTCCTTGTATGCATTGTAAAACAAAAACAGTTAAAGTTTGCGGACTTTCTAAAAACAATCGTGGATTTTCAAAATTTTTGAAATTTGAATTTTGTCGGAATTTTTTTAATTTTGATCATCCATAAACCTTCCCAGGGGTCACGTGAGCCCCAACAAAAAAAATTGGACCCGATCGGTTCAATCGTTTTCACGTTTATTGGATACAAAACAAACAAAAAAACACCCACCAAAATAAAGCAAAGTACATAAATAGCTTTAAACCAGTTAAACCTACCTCTGCTGTGACTGCCACCACAGAAAGAAAACACAAGGAAAGATTTAGAATCCGTCCCATTTTAATTCATCTTTTTTAAACAAACAAAAATTTGAATTTATATCTGAAATTAGATAGATAGATATTATATATTTAGATCTAGATAGATTAACCATCTAAAACAATGTTTATTGACTGAAGAGGAGCAATCCGACACAAATTATGTTAATAAATATGAAAACTTAAAAGCTGCTCAGATCATTTCTTAATAGTTAGAGATAGATAGGAGGATAGATAGATAGCCTAATGTAAGAAATGTTATGCACTGTTAAAGTTTTCGAATTTTTATAAAGTGTAATTTCTAGCTTACCACTTTTAACTGTCACCAAAATACTTTTATTTATTGCACAAAATTATATTATAACCCGGAGACAGCAAGTAAATAACACTGTGTTAAAGAAGGAATACACTGAACAGTCTGATATTTAATTTGAGCTCACAGCCTAGCCTGTCTTCTTTCTTAAAGGCTCATTTCAACTTTTTTATTTCTATTGGTTCAGAATAGACAACAAACACATGACTGAACCCTAATTGGATCAGGCGCTAATGGCCTCGGCATACAGGAGTGACGCTGAAAGGCTAATTTCAAGTGACCCTCCCTCCATTTACAGAGCGGCATGTCCGATTCTTAACAGTATCATCACAAGCTGTGTCAAGTATGATTTTGATATCCCGTTTTAAAATTTTGAAAAATTATTATTTTTAATAAAACACTTTTCAAGCTAGAAAACGAAGTTATTTTCAACATTTTGGGCAGATCCAAGGCTTCAAGGGTACCGTTGCGAATTGGAAATGCCCATCTTAATAAATGGAGGGTCACTAGTTATTACGACAACACTTTTGTTTCTTAACGCCAGAATGTCAAACTCTACATTATTTTTTTAGTCTTCTTAAAGACTTTAATGCACCATGGTAAGGTATCGTAAACTAGAATTCCAATGAAAGGCAGGGAAAGTAAAAAAAAAGGAAAAGGAAGGGTGGATACCATCCATTGGATTAGCGAGGCGGAGGGGGGGATCGAAGGAAAGAAAACAATAAACACACTCCCTCCTACTCTACCCAAACAATACAATCAAACAAGTCGATAATTAAATAATAGATAAATAGAGAGGGATAGATAGATGGATAGATAGATAGAAAGATAGATAAATAAATAGAAAATTAGATCAATTAAATGCTTCTGTTTCTTCGTGTCTCCACTTTCTCTAATAATCCTGAATTTTCCAGATCTAATTTAATAACAAGGCGACCTTTTCAGGCATGTTCTCCAGATCTTAAAATCTTGAAAATGCTGGATTAATCTAGAGAAAAACTGTAGATCGGAGATTTCAAGAAATTGTAACAACAATATACTATTTTATTTATGTAACTTTTTGCCAAGTGTTTCTTTTTAATTCTTTTTAGTTTTACTCAGATTTGTATAACACTAGCTGAAGGGCTCGGCGTTGCCCGTGGAAAAAAAAAAATATTTGGAAAAACAACCCCCGCCCACCTATGATTGTCCACGAAAAAATTCAGCCCAATCGGTCCAGCTGTTTGGCCGGCTGTGCGCATCATATATATATATATACGAATGTCTTATTTTATTATATAGATTTGAGCTAAAAAAAAAGTATTTTGTAATGTTCCGGCGGCATTTTCTGAAATGTCCCCAAGAGAGTTTGCTGTACTAAATTAAACTATTAACATTGATAATCATTAAACTATTTGGCTCCTTTAATGTTCAGGGTATGTTAAAATAACAAAATTATGATAATGATAATGATAATTACAAAAAAGTTATTTTTTTCAAAAATATTCTAAATATTCTCACGCAAAATACGATTTCTATACGGTGGGTTTCTGTAATGTTTATTCAAAACATATTTGTTTTTCTCTTCATCAAGAGAAGTTATAAATAAGAACATATAAGATTTGAATATTACGTGAAATAGATTCAACACAAAAATATTTTCAAAATTAGAAAATTTGGTATAATAGAATTCAAAGTTTGACATATTTAAGATCTACGCCATTGGGATGCAACGATGTTGGAATTAGAAAATCAGAGTTTGCAAAAAGACCCAAATTTTTTTCCTATTTTTTAAAGTTTTAGGTCTTCGAATTAAAGATTTTTAGTTCGTAATGAAAGAAGTTTCATCCTTTCTCTATTATCTAGACCAATAAAACTTTGCCAAAGGAGCATAGAATTATAAGGGAGAATGAAATGGCGCTGCCCGCCCTACCATATGATTATATGTTTCTAGTTTCTAGTTTCTAGTTTCTAGTTTCTAGTTTCTAGTTTCTAGTTTCTAGTTTCTAGTCTCTAGTTTCTAGTTTCTAGTTTCTAGTTTCTAGTTTCTACATACTTTGCAGATGGTACTCCATTTGAAAAACAGTCTTTTTAAAGGTCGTTTTTTCCATTTTTTTAAATGGGGTTCCTTATTTTACCGTAATAAATAAAACGGATTTTTTATAACAGAAAAAAATACGTTGGTATTGCTAATATTTTTGCATCACAGAAAAAGTTTTCGTTTATTTCAGCCTACTTTTTTTCCTGTTTAATGTAAACATTACAATAACCTATTCCGAGTACAAGTACGCGGTATTTGTACATCAAACATATATTTCTTGTTTGAATGGAGTCCGCGTCAATTCCATCTCCCTTATAATTCTATACTTCTTGATTCATTTCACAATAGTGAAAGATGAATAAAATGTAAACCAAAACAAATTTTCAAATTAAAATATTTAAAATATGACATGGAATGCCTTTTGAAGACAAAATAATGCTCCAGGGTGAACCCAGATGAGGACACCGACATGTTCCTCATTTTCTAAAATATGTTTTCTTTCATCCTATACAAATTAGAACAGAATAGATCAATTAGAACAAAACTTCCATATTTTTTAGTTTAAATAAAATTCTAGGATTGTTTGAACTTTTCTTAACTTCGCACGAAAGTTGTTTTGTTTGTCTGTCGATTTTTTTCGTAATTTTGTTTCAAATTATCAATGATTACCAATAGGTGTAAGTTATCCAGTAATTTCAAAGCAGGCATACCATAGTTATGAAATGATAAAGCAATATTATAAAACTTTAACAGAAAAAAAAAAAAAAATTTGTTGTTGTTTATAGTTTCAGTTATATTGCTTAGTTCTGGAAACTTAAACAAAATCCAATTTTCAAATTAAATAGTTGTTCTGAGAATCATGACATTTTAATGGCTTTTGAACACAACGACATTTTAGTTTGAACTTTGCTCTTAAAATCAACATTTTCACCAAGAAACTACATGCCCCCCCCCCCACCTTCTTGCCATCAACCCTTTCCCCCCTTCCCCCCCTCCTCACCACACATAATTTCCGTTAGTACATATCTTACACTTGATTCACAATAATGCCCGAACTCCCAGAAGTTCACGTTACCTAACACGACCTATCCCCGCAACAGCCTATACGCTACTGATAACTGAGCAGGATTTAGGATTGAGGAAGAGAACTCAGAGAGAGAATCAAGAAAATCTACGAAAGAACTGTGTATAGTGTACAGGGAGATAGATAGATAACCATTGTAGGGGAAATATGCGATGGTATGCACCAACGGGCCCTGGACTTACCCAAATATTTTTATTTTTCAAATCTTCGTAAAAAGCAATAAAAATAAAAAAATGAAATATTAGTAGCAACAAAAAAAATTTAAAGATGAATTCCAGGGCCCGTAACGCAGCTTTATCAGGTCATAGGCAACTTCGGCCTATTTTACGCAAACAACCGAGAGAGCCAACTATATATCTATCTATATATCTATCTATCTATCTATCTATCTATCTTTCTATCTATCTATCACTCGTCCATCATGTATACCTATAAAAGTATGTCAAACAGAAATGAGCATTTCTATGAACACCATTGGGACAACTTTTTACAAGGAAGCATGCTTGTTGTTTTCTCAAAAATAGACTTTCTTTGTAAAAAGTTGCCTTTGTGAGTTTTGTTATTGCTTTTTTATTACTATTTACTAAACATTTTGAGCGGTACTAGGACCTTTTTAAGTACATTAATTGTAAAAAAAAACTTTTTTTAAAAGTATTCCATGGTTCCTTTTTCTGCATACGAAGTTATTTATGGTTGAAACAAAGAGAAAAGAATATATATTAGAGTGGAATTTACTAGAAAAAAGTGTAAAACGGCCATTTTGTTGTTCTGTTTCCATACTGCAGGTGTACTTCACATATTTATCCTATATAACCTGTTGGGCCCTAGAATATCATTTTATAGAAAATCTAAAATTAATGTTTAAAGAAAACCAAATTATGAAATAGGCTGGTTTCATAATTGACCAATGATCATTTCACATAGACTCTATGCCTTCCACTTTACAAACGATGGTTTTCCGTTATAACTATAAATCAAATGATGTTTTTTATTCACCTAATTCATTATAAAGTTTATTTAACAGCTTTAAAAAATTCGAAATTGAAATGAATAGTCTAGGGAACATATTGTAAAATTAATGTACTCTACTGCATATAATTTGTGAACATTTACATGATTTGTACACTTTGAACTCCCTTTCAGGCTGAAAGGGACTGAAAAAATTCATACCGAGAGATTCTTTAAATTCCCCTCTAACATGAATGGAAAGTTCCAGTTTTACAAGAACTTTTAAATACAAGAATGAATAATTTATATGTTGAAGGATTCGATGATTACGTACGCGTAATAACTGAAATGATAAATATGTTATGTAGTGAGTAAAAATCAATGTTGTCTATTTGTGCATAATTTTGCATATTTTTTTCTCTTTTCTTTTGGAAACCTGTATTTTCAAAAAAATGTATTTAAACAAATTTAAACTACACCATTTATATATGTATTTATATCTTTGTGTGCAAATAAATCTTTATAATAATATAATATATATTCTATTCTCTATGGGTTGAAAGGACTACGTAAAGGCAATATTTTGTAAAGATGTTATCGATGTAGCTAGTTAACCGTCAAAAGTTCACAACCTCCCAACCCCATTCACAAAGTGAACAGTTTAATTATAACAGCAAACTCAGGAATGAAAAGAT